TCTTTTAGATACAGGAGTGAATGCTAACATCTCCTTTTTTTTTTTTGGAATAAGGAAGCAATGACTAGAGTTCCAGTAGCCAGTAACCTGAAAGATCAAAATTGGGTATTAAAGGAAGGTAGAATAGAAAAAAAATACGTATTTCTTACATAAGAAATACAAATATTCATTTATTTTTTCATTATATTTGGATTTCCTATTACATACAGACYAAATTCCTAACAGGTATATCTTCAAAACCAAAATTTGTGTATGATTTAAACTTGTTTTTACCAGATTTTGTTAGCTTATTTTCAATTACTTTTATTTTAAAATATTTTAATTTAATAATAATTTAAACTTATCACCAATTCAGCCCACGTTCCACTTTTATCCCTTCTGTCCAAATAATCAAGTTTTACTATTAGAACCATTTAAAAAGTACTCAAATGTATTTAAAATGACAATCAGAGGCATTTAAGGAGAAAAATAAACCTTTCAGTATTTAATTCCAAGCATATAAAAGAAAACCAAGATAAAGGTCAGAATTTATGTTAGGCTTCATATTTAAAATGCTACTTTAAGTTAAAATATGATGTTGTCATTATATGATGAGAAACAAGAGAAAGACTGAATTTGCTATTTACAGTTTAGGGTGGGCCCTTTTACTTACATGCAAAGATGATATGTCAGAAGTAGGACACAGAGAAAGACTCACAGATCTTAATCAGTAAATAACCAGTTCTGACTTCCAAACTAAGTCAAATTTAACACTAAGATTCAAACTGATTCCTGACTATTAACCATGACCAGTATACAGTCAAAATCAGAGAAGTAAGGAAGAATAGAAGCCACTAGGTGCGGTGGTGCATACCAGTATTCCCAGAGACTCAGGAGGTTGAGGCAGAAAGATCACAAGTTGCAGATCAGCCTTAACTTATATCTCAAAATAAAAAAAAATAAAAGAATGAGGACACACCTTAGTGGTAAAGTGCCCCTGGGTTCAATCCACAGCACTGCCAAAAAAATAAAATAAAAAAAAAAGTAATAATAAAAAGTGTGTTTACCTGTGCCTTAAACAAGAGAAAACACCTACAAATTTGTATTGCTGAAAAGATTACTAAGGAGCTGAATTTGCTTCTGCTTCCTGGAAAGAACACTTAGAATAAAAAGAAGTCCAAGATGGACTACACAGAGAGTGGCCAGAAATATGCTTGCTCATCAACTAGCAAGGTCAACTTACACTGAAAACTTTGTTTGCTTGGTATAATAGGAATCAGTCCAATCTACTAAAAGGGATTTTCTCCATAGAAAAGAAAGCAAGTTAATTATCAGAAAAAGTAAAAATGATCTTAGAACTATTTGCATAATTTTCTTACACAAAATGAAAGTAGAAAATATGAAGTTACAGTATTGAACCCTGGATTTTCCCCCTCTGGTCTCATTTCTGACTGTTACATTATATTTGAGTTTTATTATTGGCTGCTGACTATTCTAGGCTGCCTTGCTCTCTGCCTCAGCTAAGGGAATAGTAGTGAATAGCTTCAGAGATTTTACCACGGTGATCTAGATGTGTATATGGTCATTAACATGTATGAAAAAAATGTGATGTCTCAAGTCAAGGTTAGCCCATAGGTAATAGGAAGTTTATAGTGTCTTAGTACCAAGGTTAGGCCACAGGGATTAGAAAGTTCATGCATCTGTCTCCTCATCTTAAAAGTTGACAAATTACACTAATAATGAATTATAGGCTTAAAAAAATCAACTTTGAGAACATTTAAAAACATTTGTCAAAATCCATTTTTTAGATCCTTGAAGCATACCATCTATGGCTGGAAGTACATAAAAGTTAGATACCCCATTCCTTTTAACTACTGTGAAGTCACAGAAAAAAAAGACAACTTAGAGCCATGCCCAGAATACAGAATCTCTGCAACAAGATCAGACTGTCTTTTGTTGTTACTCTTTTCTTCCTTTGTTTTGGCTTCATAAACCTATGCAAACACATAGCTTTTAAACAAGAAGCCAGTTGATTAGTAGGAGACTGGTGTAATTTGATGTAAATCCAAAAAGTATAAAGTATTATTTTTATTTATTACAAATGTGTGGACTCAAAACTATCTTAACTGTTAACATTCCTCAAAAGAATTTATTTTTACTAAGCCTCATTGTGGAAAAAATGAAAWGCAGAATTATTTAGCTCAAACTTAGCAGTTATTAAACCACAAGACCAGGTGACTATGGTATTACCATACTACAAAGAAAATTATACCAAATTACTAGTTAAATGTCATGTTTTAAGAGTGAGAGTGACTTTTGACTGGCATTACGTTGAGAATTTAGCAKTTGAAAAAACTCTTTGAAAAGGTTTTCTAGGAGCGTTTTTTTGTTTTTGTTTTGTTTTGTGGTGCTGGAGCCTTGAGCAAGCTAGGCAAATGCTCTACCACTGAGCCACATTCCAAGCCCCCCAAAAGTTTTCCTAATGAAGAATATAAGCAATAATAATCTGGTATGTGATTGCTTTACCACTCTTTTTCTAATTTTTAAAAACCTGTAAACTGATATAAAAAGTGAAAGTCCACAAAATATAGAGCTGGAGACAAACACTAGATACCTTGAGAAGAAATTTAAACTATTTTTTCCCCACTAAAGTTAAACTGGCATTTTAATACACAATATCTAAAATACACATAGAATATCAAATGAAATAGTTTAGGTTCAAAATGAGAATGGTTTTTGTCTTTCAAACTGTAACACAGTATTACTTCAAAAACATAGGACTTATGCTTACATATCAAAAGCTGAAATGTTTACAAAGATGACACCTGAGGATAGTTTGTATATTTTCTATATAATGATTGAGAACCAGTTAAAAGGCATATTTAAAAAGGCTAGAAAATTATGAAAATTTAGGTTTTGCAAAAAAGTTTTAATATAATGTGAACCCCTCTAATGATGACTTAGCAGGAAGCACTGGTTAAGAAAAGCTGGCAGAACAAACAGCAAGTATAASGAACTGTAATTCAGGAGGACAGGTTTCTAACATCAGTCTTAAAATTAAAATAACTATTGATAGTAAATAAATGGATTATATACACTAGAACCAGATGGCCATGAATCAAAGCCCAGGACTGTCAATTATTAGCTGTATGACTTCAAAGTCCATTTCTTAGGTCTCTAAGGTTCAGTTCCATCACATTTAAAAAGAATAATCACAGTAGTCATTCCAGAGCTATTCTGAGCAAGATAATCCATGTAAGGTGCTTAGTATAATGCCTGGTACAGAAGTTTTCAAAGTAAATGCCTGGCATAAAACAATAGCCTACCATCACCACTACAATAATCTTTAGCAGTTCCAACTGTCTTGCCCTCAGTTTCCTCAGATGTAAAACACGGAGTTTGGGCTGGATAATTTCTAATGTCTCGGCTTATCTAAATGTGAAATTCTACAACACATTGGTATATCCAGGGCCAACTTTATTTCCAAAGAATATTAATTTTATATCTTTTACTCTAGTATGATTAAGAAAATAGTAATTTAAATGCTATAGAACACTACTTTTACATCATCCTTTTGAAATTAGTTATAATTACTACATTCATTAAAGCCAAAGTTATAGGTATTCTATATAACTCACAGGAAATCCATGATGCTCATCACACACTATTTGGTGACTACACCATTTCTGAATAACAAGTCCTAACAGGAATTTCAAGGTACATAATCATAGTGTGTATGTGTGTGGTTTGTGTTCACTATAAGAACATTTCAGGGTTGGGATTGTGGAACACTTGTCTAGCATGTGTGAGGCACTGGGTTCGATTCTCAGCACCACATAAAAATAAAAAGTTCAGCAACAACTGATAAAATATCTTTTTTAAAAAAGAGAGAGAGAGATAGATAGGGAATTTTAATATTTATTTTTTTTTTAGTTTTTTGGCGGACACAACATGTTTATTTGTATATGATGCTGAGGACCGAATCCAGGCTGCACACATGCCAGGTGAGCGCACTACTGCTTGAGCCACATCCCCAGCCCCTAATAAAATATTGAAAAAAAATTTCACATCTCTTAATAAACACAATAAAGATTAGGAAAAATTTCAACAGTCCAGGAAAAAGGAACTGCTAATATTTAGAAATAGTTCACACACAATCTAAAGGTCTAATAMAAATCCTCTTACTGATAACCTATCGGTTAAAAGTCAAAATTTAAATTTTAGGGAAATTTTTATTTTTGCAGGAATATTAATTTTTTTTAGTGCAACTCAAAAATATCTAAAAGGATTGAAAGTTTTAATATAACAATGTCAAGATTAAGGAAACATATCTCACGTTTCCTAGAAGCAAATGATTGATATCCATAGATACATTAATTGTGCACCAACACAAATACCTTCAATAAGAGATTTTTTAAATCTCTAGAGAACTTTTTTCTCAGGTATCTAAGTAATATTATTAAGAAATTTTATAAACCTTTTTAATTTTTAAAAATTACCGTGTGTGTGATCACTGAAAAGAGTTTATCAAAAATTTCAGAAACAGGGTGCATGAATACAAATGGCAACAAACTAAAAAAAAAAAAAAAAAAAAAGAAAGAAACATTTTTCCAGATGATGGAAACACTAAGGGAAAAGAGTTGGAGCTCACTTCATTCAGGTACTAGCATGGTAGGACCTAATTAGATTTGCTCATCAATTAAATGGTATGCTAGTTCTTAATACACACAAGGGATGCACACACATATTTAATAAGATCTCAACCAGAAAACATGTTTAGGAGGCAACATCCATACCTTGCTTTTATATTGACAAAAAGGGGACTGGTRTGTAGGTGTTTAAAAACAAAGCTCTCTCTTATATTCATCATTTCAGCTTCATTTCCCTTTTAATCTCCACACTTTATACTTAGCACAATTTCCAATCATTCAATAAATGTTAATTTTACCTTATAACCAGTTCAGCATAAAGTAGTTGTGTAAAATTCATGTCACAAAGTTAAATCTATACTATGTTCTTACCTTCAATATTAAGYTCAAAACAAATGTGGCAAAAGGAGAGTGTTTCTTTGTCTGTTCCCAGTTTACAAACGCTGCAAATATTGTCATCATCCAAATCAATGTTTACAAACTGCTCCTCTTCGTTCATACTGCCCCTATTAAGAAACAGGAAAGTTACACAATTTCGAGAACTTGACATTATGGCATGCAATATCTGACAACTTCTAGGAAACAAGAAAGGTGCTCTTCCCAACAGCCCCATCACACAAGCATCGCCATACTTGTAGTTCAATATCATACTTTTAATGTGGAAAACCACAAAGCCAAGTAAAAGCCTGGCCACAGGTGACACTACATCCATCCATCCACCCACCCCCTTCCCATATTTCACTGGGCTATGGGGATCTAAAGGCAAAAGCTCTGCGGGTATTCTAGTCCTCCCTCTTCGTCGTCCCCAGACCTTGAATAATCATACACAAGGAGCTTAGCGCGGCCTTTCAGCCCGGGTTCTGTCAACCAACTTAACCCTGTTAAAAGCAGAAAAAGGACCCTGCTCCAGGCACTGCTTTGCTAACTTCATTGTGGGAACCTTAGAGGCGTTTTGCTAACTCGGCGTAGCGAGGCTTCCCATCGAAGGTCTGCGGCAGGGAAAGGCACGTGGGAAGGTGAATACCCGGGGAACACGGGCCCCGTCCCGGATGCTCGCACCCAAAGTCTGACGGCGACCGGTGAGGCACGGCAGAAGGGACCCCAGCTGGGGTCAGGGCGGGAGAAGGGTACCGGAGCCCGGCTGCCGGGAGCGCCCGTCCACTCGCCCCGGGTTTCCTCCCACTCGGAAGGCTTCCGAGGGCCACAGCAGCCCGTCCGTCAGTCTCAGCGTCTCGGGAACCGGGTCACCATCCGGCCTCCAGCACTGTGGGCGCACGCCCGTCCCTCAAACAGCCTGGACCCGCGTCCGTCTTTCGGTCCTTAGGGGCACTCGGCGCGCAGCAGCGATAGGGGCTATGGGACGTGGGGCTCGAAGGAGGCAGGACGACCTGGGAGGGGGCGCGGGCGGGACAGGGACTGGACTGCGGGGTCTTTACCGTCCGGCTCCGTGGGCCGCCGCAGGCGTTCCGCGCGGCTCGGGCTCCTCCACTATTGTTTCCGGCCGTAGCGGAGGCGGCCGCAGCACAGGCTGCCGCCGCGCGCCGGGCTCCGCCCCCTCCCGCSGGCGCCATGCGGGGCATGCTGCGGGGAAGAACGGCGTGACGCGGGGTAAAGCCGWGCGTTCGCACGAGGGCCGCTGGCCAGCTGCTCCCATGCTACACCGACGACAAACCTTTGACTCGATTTTTTTAGTGGTCGTAGATCTGCTCGCCCGGGTTCCTTACCGTTCAAAGGAAAGTGGCTCCTCACACACCCCTCCTCGAAGTGCATAGATAGATGAGCCCGTTACTACCTCCCCCTTTAGCGTAGTGGAAACTACTGCCCCGGGGCGMGGGCTGCCGCGGTGGGGGCCTGGAAAGTGACGGGTGAGTGGGAGAAAGGGACCGAGATGCGTGGGTTGTGGCACTTGATTTGAAATCAGAAGACGAAAGCGAAATACTACCACTGAACTTCCAGTTAGATGCCCGTTAACTTACATAACGAGGGAAAACTTCATATTTTATGTATCTCGATTTAAGCGTAGTTTAAGTACAGAAGCTTCTTTGTTGAATATTATTTTTGATGGAGCGCCCCTTTCCCGTAATATGGTACATTCCTTTCAAACCCCGGGAGTAATCCCTAAGCCCCCAACTCTCTCATGTTTAGGTCCTGCCTCTTTCTCAAACTCTGCTGGACTTTTAAATTCTTTCTTCCTTTTTTTTTTTTTTTAAGGTTACCGTTCTTGTAATACTTTGGCGTACATTTTCTATTGTGTGTTCACAACAGCCTAGGAAGGAAAAAACGGGAACTGTTTTCTCATTTTGCAGCCTACAGTGACTAACCCAAGTCGTCACGGTTACAAGCTGAGCTAGGATTTGAACTCAAACTCAAGACCACTGCTTTCCACAGCATCATAAGCACCTGTTTCGTTTACCTTCACCAAAGGAAAGGGAGCTGGGTTGACAATTTACATGTAAATATTCTTGAACTGGTAGAGAGTGGATTCCATACATCTTAGAAACTTATGGACTAAACAGCGCTTGGTGGCAGGGCTCCAATACCTCAGGAAATGATCTGCTACTAGAGTGTAGTCAATAAAACAACATGGACATCACCAGATATCCTGTTACAAATGCAGAATCTTAGGTCCTACCCCAAATTTCTTCAATCAGAACCTTCAGTTTAACAAGATTCCCAGGTTATTCTTATGCTTATTGAAGTCTGAGATACACTAACTGAAAGAGAAACATCTATGTTATTTTTATTTGAATTTCTCATTGTAGGTTAGTGTGACTATAAATCTTTCATGGTTTTAAAAAAAGTGATTCAGTAAAAATTTTCCAAAATTATTAGTAATTTACTTCTATTGAAGTTGTTTTTGATTCTTAGTTATGTTTGTACCGTTTACTTGCTGTCTTTAAAACTCTTTTTTTWAAAAAAGCATCTAATAAATTTACAGAAATAAAATTTTCACATTTTGAAAACRCAGTTTGATGAGTTTTGACAAAAGAATACACTACTGTAATCACAACCACAATCAAAATATAGAACATTTAAACAATCCAGAAATTCCTTTCTCCCCCTTCCTATCAAACTCCCCCAACAGAGAATCTAATTTGTATCACTAAAATTTTTTAACCTGTTCTAAAATTTCATATATATAAAAGTTAAACTGTGGGTGGGGGCAGGGAGAGGGAGTAAGGATTGAGAAAGTAAGTTTTTGGACTAGAACTGCTATGAACTTTCATGTACAAATCTTTTTATGTACTTAATTTCTTTTTCTCTTGGTAAATAACTAGGAGAGCTATTGATAGGTCATGTGGTAAGTTTATGTTTMATTTTACCTTCTTTTTTTACAATGCTGGGTGTTAAACTCAGGGTTTCGCATTTGCTAGACAATGGCTTTGCCCAACCCTATATGTTCACTTTCAAACTGCCAAACTCTTTTCTAAAGTGGTTATATCATTTTTATACATTGACTGTTAATGTCTTCCCAATTAATTGATCTGTTGTTCCTAAAAAAGAAAAAYAAATTATCTCTGGTAACATTCCTTCTCCTGAAATCTACTTTCTCTGCTATTAATATAGATACTTCTGCTTTCTTATGATTGGTGTTTACTTATGTATTTTCCTATTCTTTTTAGCTTTACCCCCAGGTGTCCTTTCAGTAATGTATATATTTTTGTAGACAACATAGTTTCATCTTGTTTTTTGTTTGTTTATTTGTTTGTTTTCTCAGTGCTGGGAATCCAACCCTAGGGCCTCACACGTACTAGGCAAGTGCTCTAAGTACTGTTCCACTGAGCTACACATCCAGATCTGATTTTTTTTTTTTTTTTTTTTTTTAAAGAATGGGTCATACCGGGCTGGGACTGTAGCTCAGTGATAGAAAGCTTGTCTTGCAGGTGTGAGGCCCTAGGTTTGATCTTTGGCACCACATGAAAATATTAAATAAATAAAGATATTGTGTCCATCTGCAACTGAAAAAAAAAAGGGGGTCTTATTTCAGCTGCCAAGGATGGCCTTGAACTAAAGACTCAAGTGATACTTCTGCCTCAGGCTCCCAGGTAACTGGAGACTATAGGCATTTTGTTTTATTTTGGTTTTGTTTGTTTGTTTTTTAGGCAGTACTGGGAATTTTATCAAGGGTCACTTTACTACAGAGCCATATCCCCAGTTGTTTTTTGAAAAAAATATTTTGGAAAGGGTCTATGTTATTAAGGCTGGCCTCAAATTTATGATCTTTCTTCCTTAGCCTCCCCAGTTGCTGAGATTACAAGAGTGTGCCACTGTGCCTGGCTTCTTTCCTCTCTTTGCCTTCTTTAGATTAGCTGATATTTTTTCTTCTTAATATTTTCTCTCCTTTTTAAAGTCTTATATATACATATTTTATATATATGTATATATGATACTATATATAATATACATGTATAAATTTATCCATTTATTTTTGGTTTATTATAGGGTTTAATCCATTTTAAAAAAATTTATCACAGCTTACCTGAAATAATACAACACTTCATGTAAAACATAATAACATTCTTATTTTCTCCACTCTCCTCATTTATTGTCATGTTTCACTTTACATATTATAGACTCCAAATACATTATATTTTCTTAATTGACTGTCTTTTAAGTAAATTTTGAAAGAGAATGAAATATCTTTTATATTTACCCATATATTACCAGTTCCAGTGTTCTTCATTCCTTTATGCATWTTCAGATTGATCTGTTATCATTTTCTTTCACCCAAAGGGCTTTCTTTATCATTTCTTGTATCATCAAGGTTTTCTCAGATAAGCAGAAACTGAAATAAATTATTACTAGTAGAAATAATAATTTCTTTTAGCTTCTGTTATCTGAAAGACCTTGATTTCACCTTTGTTTTCAAAGGCTACGTCATCTAATTATAGAATTCTAGGAATATAGTCCCCACCCCTTTAACTTTTTAATGATGTCATTCCATCTTTTTGGGATTTGCACTGTTTCTGATGAGAAATCAACAGTAGTTCTTAACTTTTCCCTTTGTATTTGTCCCCTTTTTTTTTTTTTGTCTACTTGAAGATTTTCCTTTTTATCATTATTATTGCTAATTTCATTATGAAGCATTTTGGTTTGTTTTCTAGTATTTATCTTATTTGGGGTTTATTGAACATCTTAGATATAGCCTATTTTTTTTTAAATCAAGCCTAAGAATATTTTTATTTTACTTTATTTTAGTTTGGGATTTCAGTTACACATGTTTGTGACCAACTCAGAGATTACTCAAGATTTGTTTTATTTCTCAGTATTTCCTCTCTATACTTCAGTGACTGATCTTTAATTCTATAGTGTCTAACCTGTTACTAAACCCATCCAGTGAAAATATCATTTCAATTATTATACTTTTCAAAAATAGATATTCCATTTAGTTCTATTTGTTAGTTTTAATTTCTGTCTTCAGCACCTTCATGTTTTTCTTTAAACCATGACATACATTTAAAATAGCTATTTTGGAATCCTTATCTGCGAATTCCATCATCTTCAATGCTGTTGCCTATTTCTGTGGATAGATTTGTTTTACCTACTGGTTACTGGTATATTTTCCTGCTGTTTATCTGGTATGCTTTGATGGATACTCACGTTGTAAATGTGACATTGGTGTYCAAAAAGATCATACCCCATCTCTGCTTCCTGTGAATATTTTTATAACAYATTAAAAGGTAGGTGAAAGCCCAGTCTAATCATATGAATTCTTAAAGGCAGAGATTTTTTTTTCTGTAACCAAGCTCAGAGAGCAGCAGTAGAAGACTAAGTCAAAGCAACTGGAAACATTAGAGGGAATTGACCCTTTATTACTCTGTGACAAAGATTAGCCTCTATCTTGGAGAAAGACTTGCATCTACACCTTAGGCAAAGACTGACTCTACCCAACAGTCAGAAAAGTTCGACCTCAGTTCTAAAACTGCAAGGAAATGAATTCAATCCACAATATGAAAGGGGTAGGAAACTAATTCCAACACTCTTCCAACACCTTGATTTTGGCCTTGTGAATTCTGTTTATTTTATTTATTTTTTGGTACTGGGGATTGAACTCAGGGGCACACAACCACTGAATCACATCCTCAGCCCTATTTTGTATTTTATTTAGAGACAGGGTCTCACTGATTGCTTAGAGCCTTGCTTTTTGCTGAGGCTGGCTTTGAATTCAATCCTGCCCCAGCCTCCCAAGCTGCTGGGATTACAGGTGTGAGCCACTATGCCTTGTGAAATTCTGAACATAAAATTAAACTTAACCACTCTATACTACACTTCTTAGCTACAGAACTGTGAAATAATAAGCAGGTTGTTTTAAGTCATTAAATTTGTGTTTGTTATGGCAGCATTGAAAGAGGGCTGGGCTTTTTTTTCGAGGCTATTATTCTACTAGTGATCAGCTTGAACCCTTCAAGGCTTGTTTTTATTTTTATTTTACTTATTTATTTATTCAAGGCTTGTTTTTATTTTTATTTTACTTRTTTATTTATGCTAAG